AGCAGCACAACTACATTCACTCTCAAGCGACACTAGAAAAGTTCCTGTCTTTGGGCTTGACCCACCTACTTCTGACATAAGCTCTTGGGCTTAATCATAGATTATAGGACTGGAAGGGACCTCGAGAGGTCATCGAGTCCAGTCCCCTGCCCGCATGGCAGGACCAAATACTGTCTAGACCATCCCTTAATCCAACTTCTGTTGAAGAAAATGGTAGCTGGACTGGTTTTAGGGCTACAGGATAAAACTTGTGCTTACACTTTCCACTTGTTTTGATGTCCTGTCAATGGACTGGTTCAAAAGATGTTAATCTTGGTTTGGAGCCAAATATCAATCTTTGTAAAAAGCAAGCTTTTACATAACTTAATGCCAATAGAAATGCTTTTTAAAAAAAATTCAACTTTTATTTTTAAAACCAAACTGACTTTGTTATTATTCAGCCTGAGGGAAAATTGGACGGTTAAAATCTGGAGATTTCATAATTTAAAGTGGGAAACATTGAGAACCCAGGAAAATCAATTTTTAAAAAAATATTCAGCCATAACGGTTTCTTTCTCCAAACCATCTTCATGCAACTTCCAAATGAACCTGGTAGCTTTGACTGGCCAATCGGAATCCAGGTGTGGTGGGAAAACAGAATAGTCTGGATGGCTGTTGTCATTTTATCACTACCTCACATCCATAACTGGGCAGCACAGCTCTGGTACCTGCCACCTGTGTTGGGAAGGAGTCAACACAGAGAGAAAAACTACGAAGCCCAAGATTCTCCTTGAGATCAGTTTTACCATCCATCTCCTCAGAAATATTTGGGAGGCCCCTTGTTCTGTCAGTGCTAGCAAATAATTCTGGACTGGTAATAGAACCTTAGGTCATGCATGACATTGTGTTAATACTTAGATTATAAGCTCTTTGGGGCAGGGACTGTCATTTTGTTCTGTGTTGGGACAACATCTGGCACTATATGACACCGGTCCATGCCAGGGGGTTCCTGAGTACTACTGCAATACAAATAATATCCTTATCACTAATTAATGCAATGTCAGCAACTTTCTGGAACTGAAAGGTTTTCCATTCCTCCACAAACAGTTTGATACCAAGTTCAGCTCCTACCTACCGCTCTGCCCTTGTTTCTTTTTATTCCACTTCCCCAGTCTTCATTGTGCCCTTCTCCATATTAGCTGTGACTTATTCCATGCAACCTTCTTCCTAATGTACCCCCCACCACGTTATCATTTTCTAAGACCCTCCTTAAATAATACTTCTTTCAAGAATATTATAAGTCTTAGCCCTTCCCATAGTAGAGAATAAAACAGATGAGAGACTTAAAAAAAATTTAACTAACAAGAAATCGTTGACATTACTGCTCAAGCTGCTTTTCTATCTGAGGTCTGGTCTACACTATAAAATTAGGTCGGCTTAGCTAAATAGCTCAGAGGTTTGAAAAATCCACAGCCCTGAGTGGCATACTTAAGCCAATTTAAATCCCTGTGAATTCTTCCATCAACCTACCTACTGCCTCTCCGGGAGTAGGATTACTTACACCGACAGGAGAATCCCTCTCGTCAGCATAGATAACGTCTACACTGAAGCACTATAACAGCTGCAGCTGTGCCACTGTAGTGTTTCAAGTGTAGACAAGCCCTAAATGGTTAAAAGAGAATATAATCATTGTAATATCTTAGTACTATACCTCATGGACATTCATGAATTTATATTCATCCCTCCGTGAGATAGGAATGCATCATCATCCCCATTTTAGACGGAGAACTGAGGCACAGAGAGATGAAGGGTCTGATCTTTGGAGGTCCTGAGTATCCAGAATGCCCAATCTAAGTCAATGGCAACTAGAGGTGCTTGGCCCATCTGAGAATCAAATGCTACACCGTTTGCCCAATGTCACACAGGAAGTGACCAAGGTGGGAGGCAGAGGTGGGAATCCAGCTCTCTCAAGTTCCAATCCAGTGTCTCAATTCAAGGCCATCCTGCCTCCCCTTTGCATCCTACCCCTTGTCTAGGATTATCTGTTTGAATTGGACAGCCAGCTCACCTTCTTTGTGCGTAGGGTGACCAGATGTCCCGATTTTATAGGGACAGTCCCAATTTTGGGGTCTTTTTCTTATATGGGCTCCTATTACCCCCCACCACCTATCCCGATTTTCCACATTTGCTGTCTGGTCACCCTATTTGTGCGTAACACACCAGACAGTTTTTGTGTCATATAAACAACAGTAGCATTACAACAGGATCCCTGATACAGTGAGTGGCGGGGGGGGGGGCAGAAGAAGCAAGTAGGGGGCCCTGCCAAACACAGGACACAATGACACCACGCCCTGCTGTGACCCCAAGCGCTAGTCTAGAAACCACTCTGCTCCAGAAACCAAGTACAGGGCCAGAGCCTCTGGCACAACCCCCCCCTCCAGCTAAAACTGCCCCTGCCCCCCCAAACTTACACCCTCCCAACGGCGCGCTCTCCCATCACGCCCTGGACCGTGTGCCCTCCCTCAGGGGATGGCGGTGAACCACCCACACCCTGCCCCAACCTGTCCCCTGCCCACGTCGCTGCCAGGGAGGGGTCAACTGGGGGGGTCAGGAAAGGGGAGTACACCCGTCCCCTCCCCCCACGCGGGGCAGTCAGAAAGAAGGGCGCCCCCGCGAGGGAAAAAACACCATCTTACCCGCCCGAGAGCTCAGCGCGCTCCTATTGGCCCCTCGCGGGCTCTCCGGGATCACGTGGAAGAGGACGTTAACTACCGTTTAAGCCGGTCCTCTAACCCCGCCCTTTTCTCCAGCCGGCGAGTGAGCGTGAGGGGAGGGGGAAACGTCTCCGGGCTCGCCTGTCCGTGCGCATGCGCCAAGGGGGGGGGGTTCGGGTAAATGGAGGGGGGTGCGCGCGCGCGCTGGAGAGGTGAGGCTCGGCCGGGCGAGCGCGCCGCGAGAGACGGTTCCGGACATGGGGGCGAGAGGCGCGCGCGAGTGAGTGACTGACTGAGGGAGAAGACGGAGGCCGCCGCGGCTGGAGGAGCCTGACGCTCCGCCCCTCCCCCAGCCGGCCCTGAGCGAGGAGACGCCGGTTGCCGCCCGGAGAGAGAGCGGCCGCCTGGGCTCTGCGCCTGTGAGGAGGAAACGGGGAGACGCCGTCTCCTGCCCTGGGACCCTGCCGCCCTCCCCGGTGTAACTAGGGGGACCGGACATCCCTTCCTCGGGGGCTGCCGGGGGACCCCGCGCCCCTCAGGGAAAGGAGGCGAATCCCACTCCGGGGAGAGGGGGCCCCAGGTGCCGGCCCCCCCCCGCGCCAGCGAGCCGTCTCCAGTGGGGTAGGAGCCTCCACCCAGGATGTGAGTGAGGAAGTTCGTGCTTCGTCCCCACCCAGCCTCGGACGCTGAAGCCTCCGTTCCCGGGGCGCGCGGAGACCCGGGCGCTTGTCGCCGATGTGACGGCCCCGCAGCCGGCTGTTGTCGAATAGCGATTCAGGGAGAGACTCGAGGGGGGGAAATAACCCAGCCCGCTAAGCACCGAGGGGGATCTCATCCCGCCCCCTGCCTCCGCGCTGCACCACCGGGCCAGGGGCTTTCCACGCGCGGCCGCGTGGGGGGCTCGTGCGGGGCAGCGCACCGGCAAGACACTTCTTAGCTTTTCCCTTGCCGGAGAAGGTGGAGTGAGACCTCGTGAGACGCTGCTCAGAGAGCTGCTGCTGTTCCCACCCTCTGCGGTTTTCTTTTCATTTTGGAACAAGTTTGGTTTTTTTGGAAGGGAGGAAAAAATGTCTTTCTTTAACTTTCGTAAAATCTTTAAGCTCGGTGGCGAGAAGAAAAAGAAACAATATGAGAACGTCAAGAGAGACTTGAATCCGGAGGAGTTCTGGGAGATTATAGGAGAGCTGGGAGATGGTGCTTTTGGTAAAGTGTTCAAGGTAAGAGAGAACTTGACAAGTGGCAACTAAGCCTCATGTGTTATTGGTTCTTGAAATAAGTGCATCGCAAGCTTACCCTTCTATACAGCCTGTTGTCTGAGGATCTCAAAGCATCCTTCTAACCTAGGTAAGTATTATGCCCATTTTACACTTTGGGAAACTGAGGCAAATAGGTTGTGATTTGCCCAGTCACATAGCCAAACATTGACAGCACTGTGCTACCTGAAATTCCTAATCATCACAAAGAATCATAGAAACTGGAGATGGAAAAGTCCTATTAGGTCATCGGCCCGCCCTCTCCTCCAACCCGCCAGTGCTGAGTTGTTCCCTGCTCCTGCATTTTTTTCCCTCCAGTGTTTTGTTCAGTCTGGCTTTTAATCTGTCAAGGGATAGGCTTCTCTAGTCAGGCATAAGCTCAGTTTTCTTTCCCTGGCTACTTTATCAAACTTAAAAGTAAAATAGACTTAAATGTCTCTTATAGTAGCATGAGTGCTGATCTTGTGATATTTTTAATGAGTTCATTTGCCTTAATAGAATATCTTGTTCTCTTATCAGATTGAATTAAATGCCCCAGGGCTATCCAGGTTTTTCGTTTTTTAAGGATGTGTGTGCTGGCTGTCCTAACTTGTTTCAATGACTTGATATAAAATGTTGAAATATAGCAATATAAGTTATATTTGTATAGGCTATTTACTATCTGAAACTTCACAGAAGAAACCTACATTGTAATAGTTTTAAATTTGTTTCATAAAGACACTATCAGATGTCAAGAAATAAACTCATGCCTTCAAACATTCTTCTCTGCTGACTTTGGGTTTCACACAGGGTGTCAATGCCTCTAGTTTGTTTTATGGAGTGCGTGGTGTTTGATGTTTCTTGATGGCAAGGAGGGAACTGCAGCCTCAAGCTCATTAGGGAACAGATATGATGCAGGAAGGTGATATCTTGAGCAGATTCATGGGACAGGGATAAAGTGTAGAAAAAAGGATGATGCATTGTTGCTGGAAAGTAACTGTTTCAGTCAAGAAGTTTTCATGTTTAAAATACTACATTTCAGTGGGAATACAAAATGGTTTACACCAGGGGTTCTCAGCCTTTTTCTTTTTGAGTCCCCCTCCCCCCAGCATGCTATAAAAACTCCACGGCCCACCTGTGCCACAACAACTGTTTTTCTGTAAATAAAAGCCAGGGTTAGGGGGTAGCAAGCAGGGCAATAGCTTGGGGCCCTTTGCCACAGGGGGCCCTACGAAGCTAAGTTGCTCAGACTTTGCCTTCAGCCCTGGGTGGCGGAGCTTGGAGCCCCAGGCTTCAGCTCCAGGCAGTGGGGCTTTGGCTTTCTGCCCTGGGACCCAGCAAGCCTAATGCCAGCCCTGCTTGGCGGACCCCTGAAACCTACTCGCGGCCCCGCAGGAGGCCCTGGATCTTGGTTGAGAACCACTGGTTTACACAGTTTCCTTTTCCTCCAGCAAATAGCTGCTATTCTGGACAGAAGCAATCCTGGCATTTTCTTATGTTTCTTTTCCAGATTGTTAGAGGGAATAACGCTTTCCATTAACGTTTTTTTAAATTGCATCTGTTGCATGCTTTCCTTTTCACTACGGCCATGTCTGCGTACAGCGCTGCAGTGACGTAGTTGTACCGATACAGCTGCGCCACTGCAGCGCATCTGTTGAAGAGCTCTCCCGTCAGTGTAAAAAAACTCACCTCTGCGAGTGGCAGAAGGTATGTCGATGGAAGAAGCTCTTCCACTGACATGGCACTGTGCACACAAGCGCTTATGTCGCTGTAACTTATGTCGCTCGGGGGTTGTAATATTTACAAACCTGAGCAACGTAAGTTTTGCCGACATAATCTGTAGTGTAAGATATAGCCAAACTCAGAAAACTTCTTCTAATTCCAGAGTCTGGTTTTCAGGACTCTTCTATGTAAATAACATCCTTTTAAAGGAACACAGAACTTGATTATTTTATTTTTTTAAAAGCAAAGTTGAGATTTTCAAAGCAGGGATTGGTACATCTTCCAAGAAAATAAATGGATGATGTGTATCTAAATCCGTTAGATTGTTTTGAAAATGTCAATCGAATCTGGGTAAAATCATGTAGTGAGCTCCCCTGAGAGCAGCACCAGTGATCTTGTGATACCAGTGCATGATGCAGAACAGTGAAATTGTTCACTTTGGCATTTTGAGTATGAACGAAGTAAACATAATAAAAGAGATTTAGCTCCCCCCACAGTAAGTACACATTTTTCAGCAGAAAGTGTGACTTCTAATTTGATGATGTCTCTGCATTCAGAAAACAAAACTTTTAAATGCTGAAGTTGTTCACAATTTTAACAATTTTCAAACTAAAAATATTTTTAAAGACTATTGGTATTTAGATTATAGTATTAAGAATGACACTTGGAATTCCACAGTCTTGTGAGAGAACAAGTAACAAACTTTTTTAGTTGAATGCAAAAATCTGTCAATTTTCACATATTTTAACACTACTGAAAACTCCCTCAATTTTAAAAAATGGAAACTGGCAGATAACTAGCAGTAGGATTGCTCATATTTTCTGAGGAAGATGTCTAAACTACACATCCTATATGTATTGTAGCTTGTTCACTGAGGCTGTTACACAGAAACTTCTTAGTTCCAAGTGTTGGAGTACGTCACAATCTTAACTCCTTTACATATCCTGGCGGTTTCTAAACAGAGACGCATAACATGTTTGACTAAAATTATTGGAAAGATGTTAAATTATTTCAATAAAGCAGACCTGTTGCCTTTTAAAGACAATTTGTATTTAGTGACTTATAAAACAACGAATTCATACCAACACATTTTGGAAAAACTACTTCCTCGCCTCCTTCCTTCCTCCCTCCCTCCCCCCCCCCCCGCCTCCAAATTATCTTTTTGAGCATGCCATTCTTTGCTAATGTCATTAATGTGCTTTAGTACTGTGTGTGTGTGTGTGTGTATATATACTAACTACATCTTGAATACCAATAAATGGTTAAATTACAAAGCAAGTATAAATAAATCTGCTGAAAAGTGATTAGAGCTAAGCTTTATCTGGCATCCAGAAGGGGGTGGGGCAAATAGAGCTGTTCAGTCACAATTCCATTCTGAAACTAACAGCCAAACCATGTTAGTTAAGTAGATCCCGGTCCTCAAAGCCTTTTTACCCAGTGAATCTAAATCAAGCCACCTTTGTTATCTTGCATAAAAGCAGTGAAGAGTACTCAAGTGTCTTCTCATAGAAGTATTAGTTTTTATTCCTTGAGTGAACATAATTTTCATGGATACCTGAATGTCAGAAGCTTAAGGGAAATAACGTACTACTTCCACAGCCCAGTTTTCTCTGAATTGGATTTAAGTAGACTAAAACATTTTTTTATGTTAAGACCCTAGGAACCTTTGTGTAAATGTCCGTATTCTCAAAGTTTCAGCAGATTTACAATAAAAGAACACTAAACAAATCAGATTTTGTTTCTTGGGTATTTAATGCAAAACAAAGATCAGGGTGCTTACTTGATATAGCTTACATTTATAGAAACATCTTTTAAGTAGTCATAATTCATTTTCAGTTGACAAAATATGCTTAAGCAACCCCCTAAAACAACATTTTTCTTGAACATATTTGTTACTATTGGTCATATGAAATTGACTTGATTAATTTTATTAATATAAATTTATTTAATACAGGATATATTAACCTAACAAAATGTAGTTGAAGTCTTTAGGATATCTAATTTGTGGGTTAAATTTTTTTCTGCTAGTGGTATGGTTCTTTTTCTCTTCCTAATCATTTATCTGCTTCCAATTCAATTCAGTTTTATTAGATTGCATATGACATGTCTCTTGCAAATACAAAAAGAAAAATATACACAATCTAAAACAAAAACATCCATATAATTTAAAATGT